GTTTGATGTATGTCATGGTTTGTATTAGACCAGATATTGCTCATGCAGTGGGAGCTGTTAGCAGGTACATGAATAATCCGGGTAAGGTACACTGGGAAGCAGTCAAATGGATCCTCAGATATCTGCGAGGTACCACAAACAAAACACTTTATTTCAAAGGTGGAGATACGATATTGACAGGCTATGTAGATGCTGACTTAGCCGGAAATGTTGACATCAGAAGGAACACTATAGGGTATGCCCATACTCTAGGAGGAACCGTAGTGAGTTGAGTTTCTCAACTACAGAAGATAATTGCTCTCTCCATAACTGAAGCAGAATACGTCGCTGTTACGGAAGCCAGCAAGGAGATGGTTTGGCTCCAAAGTTTCTTGGAAGAGTTAGGCAAGAAACAAGAAAACAATGTCTTGTATTACGACAGTCAAAGTGTTATCCATCTAGCGAAGAATCCATCTTTTCATTCCAGGACGAAGCACATACAATTACGGTATCATTTTATCCGGTCTCTTCTAGAAGATGGGATTTTGAAATTTGAAAAGATTAGTGGAGCTCAAAATCCGACAGACATGTTAACAAAGACGGTGACTACAGACAAACTGAAGTTGTGTTCAGCTTCAGTTGGCATGCTAGAATAATGAGACCAAAAATATTGCTGCATTGATCGAGGTTTGAAGAAAGATTAAAATCAGTCTTCAAGTGGGAGATTGTTGGGAAAAGTCAGCAAAGGAAGGCTTGAAGGGGGGCCGTCGAAATCAATAATTTTGGCTGGAAATTAATGCACCAAATTCGGTGCTGTTTTTTAATTGATTTTTTGGGATTATTACACTTTAGTCACTGCATACTTTAGGGTATTTACAAGATTAGTATTTAAGCTTCAACTATAAATACCCTAGCTCATTTAACTTCAAAATCATCCCAAAATCCCAAATTATTTATTTCTCCCAATACTAGAGAACTTTCTTGTGAGTAGTGCGTGTTTTGTAAAAACCTGTAAATTTTCTCTCTTAGTAAAAGATCTGCAGCAGTCCGGAGACGTAGGCATAATTGACTGAATTCCGTTATCAATTTCGGTATTATTTTTCCGCTGTTATTTCGCATTCTAACTAATCTGGTTATAGGGAAATTACTCGTACTCGTTTATTTCCCAACGATCAGGGTGGTATTTGAACACCATTTGCATGCTTCCCTTTGTTTTGCTAGTCTTTGCTTAAGCACCTTTTGGTTAGCTTGCAAGAGTTCACAATTTTAGTTTTTAGGGTCTTTTCTTCTATACATCATCTTGAATTGATGTTTTCGTTAGTTATTGTTTGCAATTTTAACCTCGCAATCGTTTTTTTTATAATATTGGATATTGGGTCAAATTATGGTTTTGATCCTTTTACTATGCTTAGATTTAAAATTTGATCTCTATATGATATAATTTACGCTCTCAACTTTTATGCTTTCATTCAACTGGATTACAATCTCATTCATCAGCTCAAACAATTTACACCGTTAATTATTTTGATTTAAATACTAACATGAATAGATTCTCTTAAAAATATCTCTTTTCTAAATCAGATATCGATTAACGATATGAATACATATTTATGTTGTATTTATAACGACCCTTATACTACATGCATATTTGTGCCATAGTATTATAAGTTTTATATGATATTTAATATAAGTTAATTATTTATCTCGTATACACAACTTATTCGAGTATATATGTTTTTATGTCATTTTGTATCGCGCTTGTATTAGATTTCAATGTATATAATGTTTTACATAATTTGCATTATCGACTCAATTGAAAGATATATATATATCTTTATGTTATATTCATGTTAACTTTAATAAATTGTATAATTTTTTATCCATTAATAATTTGTTTATTTATATAAAATTTTAGTTTTATATATGCTTTGCTTGCTTCATTTTTTATGATGTGACATTTATAGTTAATTAAAAAATATGGTATTATATATTGATGTCGTGTTTGGACATCACAATGTAATTATATAAAAATATAATTATTATCTCAGTTTACATATAATTGTAAAAAAATAATTCTTTAATCTATTTGATTGATAAAGTGTAATTATATCATAATTTTATGTTATGTTTAATAATATAAACTATAATTATATGATTACATAAATTAATATTAACTTTAAAATGAATAAATTTAAATGCATGTATAATTATATAAATTCTCAACCTTTCCTTAAAAATTGGAAAGTAGAATAGAAAGTTTAGAATTACATTTAATTTAATAAGATTTAGATATATTTTTAGCCCACAAGTTGGCCGTGTAAGTAGTGTAGTGTGAAGGCAAAGAAAAGCAGCTCCTCCCGTGCACACCACTCGCCATCCACCTTTGTTTCTTTTTATACCATACATTTGCCCCGGTGATTGATTGTCATAAATTCTGCATAAAATTCAGACCAGGAAAGTCGTCGCTCTTCCCGTTTGTCAACGCAATTGCTCTTCAAAATCTCATACACTCACCACTTCCGTTTACTTTATTTAAGAGCCATAAATGCATTCGTTATAATCAACACAGATCTTAAAACTCCACCTCGGGTTGTTTTTGACCAGACAATGGATACGTTTCCGGTAATGATGATGGTGACTCTTATCTTTCTCACAGCCACTTCAGTTTGTGGACACAACATAACAGCGAAAGCAGAGTCCCACAACGTTAGCCATAGATTGACGCTTCAGATGGTGAGGGATTCATTGACAAGGCAAGAGGACACCATTGTTTTCTGTCTGATAGAAAGAGCCAGGTTCCCTTTCAATTCTCCGACGTACCTCCCTTTGATTCCCGGGTTAAGCGGCTCTTTCATCGACTTCTTCCTTAAACAAACGGAGGCTGTCCAAGCTACGGTACACTCTTTTTCTTTGCTACCTTATCTCCACAATGCTTGGTCTTAAAATTTCACAAGTTTGAATGAGTTGCAGGCTGGAAGATATGAGAATCCTGAAGAGCATCCATTCTTCCCAGATAATCTACCACCCTCACTGGTGCCACATTATAAGTACCCTGAGGTATGATTTAATCTCCCCCAAGCTGGCTATGTTACTTGTGCTTCTCTTCTTGGTTTTCCGTAAATTGGAGTCCGGTTCGATCAATATCTGAACTAATAACTTCAACACAACAGGTTTTGCATCCTGCAGCAATGTCTATAACATAAATAAGGTCATATGGGATATGTATTTCAACAAACTGCTTCCATTGTTTGTCACTCCGGGTGACGATGGAAACTATGCTTCGACTGCTGCTCGGGATCTCGAGTGTTTACAGGTATTTTACGATCTCTTGTAAACGCCTTCTTGTGTATCTATATGATATGATATGTAGTTAGAAAATAGGCTCTAAAGTACATTGCTAATCCCTCCAGGCGCTCTCTAGAAGAGTACACTATGGGAAACTTGTAGCTGAAGTTAAATTCAGAGACGAACAGAAAGAATACGAGCCGCCAATTCGAGCTCAGGTATTTTAATTTCATTTTGCTCCTATGATGCATAGTAACTGTGAAGTTAGTACTATGTTATTGACTAGGAATGTTGATGCGGTTATTTCAGGATAGAGATGCTCTAGCATCTTTATTGACGTTTGCGGATGTTGAAGAAGCAGTAAAGAAGAGGGTGGCGAAGAAGGCGATGACATTTGGTCAGGAAGTGAAGCTTGGTGATGGTGGAGACAAGGGAAAGTACAAGGTTGATCCAGCTGTTGTTTCGGGTCTCTATGGAGATTGGTTGATTCCCCTAACAAAAGAAGTTGAAATCGAGTACCTCCTCCATCGCCTTGACTGAAACCTTTTCCCAATCTGTTATCGACATTTCTTTCGAACAAGATCAATTCATGTATCAAAACTGCCTCCTGGGATGAATAAACATTTAAAGCCATTAACTTTATCCCAAAGGAACACAATATGAAGGCACTTTCATGAACAAAATACACATAGTTACACTTGTGACACCTGACTAATATAACTTCTGAAAAGAGTAATGAAAAATAAGACCATTAACATACGTGCATCTCATGTCAGATTCAGTGAAATGAGACCAGCAGGGAACTTTATACCTGAGTAACAATGATCATTTGCAAATAAGAAGGTTAGTGATCTTGATGATGAATCCCATCCATGATAAACTGTACTTTATGATCTTTCATATACCGGAGTAAGAGATTTCCAGTCATTGTCTGCAGATTCGATATGTACATCTCGATTATTCGATATCCAAACTTCCGCATGGACGACGCCTGAAGCCCACCATTTATCAAGTAATAAAGTCACGCTCTCGGTTTGCTCTTCTCGAAGCAAGGCAGGAGGCTCTCTGGTGTAGTCGGGATACACTCCAGAGTGCTGTATCAACCTGATTTGATAAAGGAATGGAAAAATATGATCAAAACAGAAGAATTTTGGCAATACAAGTTTTAAAAGCATTACATATGCTACATATCCCAATATAACAGTTAGATTCCACAAATTGGTTTCATCAAAAAAGGATATTGAATCCACAAGACAACACCTGATATCGTCGATCAGCAGCATTTTCCAGGGCTATATACAGAAAAGCATATTGAATCCATTTCATCTTTCAAATTTCAGTAAGCTTACTTTTTTCATATTCAGTCGATCAAATTTTCTTTTCAGTGTTATAAAAAGAAAAAGAAAAAGAAAAAAAAGTAGTAGCTTTCTGCGAGAGAAGGGAAATTTCATGGATACCAAATTTTCTCACGTTTTCTTGCATTTTCAGGGAAGCCTAGCACTTTTTTATGAACCATGCATTTCGTGGTTAAAATTTACCATGTAAATCAACTTGTGTGTGTGTGTATCACAAGGAATGAAAAGTTATAAAGTTTAAAGGAAATGTAATCCTCCGATTAATACAGTTGGATAAGATGCTAAAAACGAAAGCATAAAAAATAAAAATCAAACTGATAACAAATTTTATGCAGCTTATCCCATTTTAGAATGCTTCACGTAAGGTAAGAACCTTCATCAACTGCAGCAAAATCCTAAAACTTTTTACACTTAAAATATTTTGAATCTTCTTCCCCTAGGATATAGAGTGTCTCCAGTCCCTGGAAGATGAACCCGAAGACTTGGTATCCCCTCGAACCATTGAAGTTGGGCTTTGCGAACTTGCAGATGTCTCAGAACTTCTGTTTTCCACATGCCCTTTACCGAATCCCCACAATTTGTCGTATATTTTTCTTGATCGAGATGGCAGCAGCTGCACATCGCTTTTACTGTTCTTGCTATTACTTTTGGCGAACCTACCATTTTTTTGGAATCCGTCCCTGTTTATCTTAACCCGACTCATCTGTTTATCGAGGGAGTTGCAATCTTCAGCTGCAGTCTTCTCCGATTCTTCATCGGTGTTGGTCGTGGAATGGGATGCACCACAAGGATTGTTGTTAAGAGCCCTAACCTGCTCAAAGAAGAGAACTTGTACTACGACCCGTAGTGGAAGTCTCTCATTCTGTGCAGCATGCATAGATGCATCCATTGTCAATTTCTTGACATCCATCAAGCCACACAAATTCTTTCTTTCGGCCTTCGTCAAGCTTGGATGCTCCTGCAGGCAAACAAACTTATTTGAACACTGTCCGACTGCATTCATGAAACGGTTTCAGGTTCTCATTATACGATCGGCACGCATTGTGTAAGAAAACAGTTAGGATTACAAATTTGGATCAAAATCCAACAGTGCAGTTAGGATTACGAAGTCATAACATTGGAAATTTTCCGAAGATGCAGATGCAGATGCTCTAATAGTTCATAGATGCTGTCACAGCTGCAGTACAAATAAACCCATACAATGATTGACGGAAGAGAGGACTAGAAGTACATTCTAAATATTAAAAAACACAAACTTTGTTTAGCATAAAAAAATATACTGAAAGCATTTATGCATATGATCGGATTTATAATTCTTGAACTTAAAAAGATAGATGAAATCGGCACGTAGTTGAAAAGCCTACCTTTAGGTACATGTCAATGGCTTTATATAGTCCGTCGTGAATTGGTCTAGCAAACTCAGGTATAGACCGAGACAAGTCAATGAAACTGGCAAGGGAAAGGTTTGGGTCACACGCAATTTCTTCAAGATACTCATCAATCAATTTACCAACACCCAACAAGGATCCATGCCCTAGAACAAAACCGGTACATCCCGTCTCATTCTTTGCAACATATAAATCTTGAATATGCATCATATACTGATTTGCAATAGATAGAACCATTTCAACATCATGTAATGTAGTTTGGGGAGGCCGTGCCGGGATTAATAAATCCTTTACAGAAGCTTCATGCAACTTTAAACTTATCCTTTTCAATAAATCTTCCTTTGAGGAATCATCCACCCCAACCAGGATGGCAACTTTCAACAGCTTCAACAAGAAACTACACAAACAGCCAACACCCATATCCGAAGGCAATAAACACACAACTGTTTCCACAAGTAATTTGTTCCTCCACGAGTGTACATCAGAAACCAAGGCATCGATAGAATCTGGCAACCATCTAAGAGAGTAAGTTTTCAGTGCCTCACCAAGAGCCACACCATCCATTCTTCCCTTTGATTTCACGGCAGTCAGGACTCGCTTGTAGAGATCAATGTCTAGCTCACATATATCTTCAACCCACCAATCATTCGGAACAGATAAAATCTCCTCTCTAAATTTCATACCCTCTTTAGCCACTTCGTCACACGCTGACAGGTTCCTGTTATAAGTGTAGGACCAAGTAACGTTTGCTGGATCCACTGAGGTTTTAGAAGCTATGGAATCAATGCATCTTCCAACGATCTTCAGGTTTTCGGACCATGGTAGAACAGATTTGGTGGTTTGTAGAACAATAATGGAATCTTTCCAGCTACGGAATATGCTAGAATTAAGAAATACTTCGATTTTAAAAATCAGATTACCTCGATCAACATCCTCAGTCATCCCTAGGCATTCAGCAGCACAACGTGCAGCCACGACATTGTAAGCATTTAAAGTAACGGTCATCCCATAGCAGAATTTAGCACAAATTTCAAATGCCTTTGGCCCACCCGGAAAATCAATCATATTAATCCCATCACAGCATTCTTCACTGGCTTTCAGCACTAGTTCTTGCAAGTGACGGCTCTTAGACAGTAGAGGGAACCGCAAAGCAACATAAAAATGGCCTTTGTAATTGACAATTATAATTAAGCAGCTGCTCTCCACGGGCAGAACTCTAGAAATTCATAAGTTTAGAAGGAATTAAGCATACCTTGTGAAGGTAGAATTAACTTCACCAACATTAATGATGACATCTGTTGGCAATCAGATGCGACATGCCTGCGTCAACCAAAAGTTTATGTTAACTCACAAGGGGGGGGGGGGAACTTAAACCTAAAGACATTAGAGAACATCAAAGACTTAACCTGTTCTTCCGGGGAAAAAAACATAAATGCACGGAAGCCGGATTCATCATAAAGATAATGACCTTGGAGAATTAAAAAGAACAAACCGACAGCCGCATTTGCCTCGTAGGCTCTAGTGAAAAAAATCAAAGGCTATTTTTCTCACTTGTCATATTATTTGTCAATGGACTTGAAACATCTCAACCAGCTTGGCGGCTTTTAGGTGTAAGTATTGACTTTCTCAAACATGAATAAGAATAGAAACAAACAAAAATGGTTGTCCCTTTTTTCCATATGTATGGGGTAAGGGGGAGGTAAGATAGTAGGCTACCCCCAACACCAGGTTGAGAACAGCTTCCGTTAGAGACCTCCGAATTATGAAATGCCCTCCGTGGGACTCGATCCCACGACCTCAAGGTTAAGAACCTTGTGCTCTACCAACTGAGCTGGATGGTCATTTCAAGAATAGAAACAAACAAGAAGCCTAGAAATGGCTTGAAAGCCTCAAAATCTCAGTTGTCAAGAAATTGCACTTTCATTAAAGATCAATTCAGGTTTATTAGCTTTCATTTGTTTACACATCTTTAGAAAAGGACTCTGGCCACAACTTTCTAGAAATACATTCAAATCGCATAGTCTTGTCCACAAGTAAACAAATTAAAAGGCTGCAATGCTGCTGACATTTCATTTTATGATGCCACTACACATTAGACTAAGATCCGTAAAAAGTTTCCATGCTAGAGCTCTCAGTCTACTTCAATTCCCATGTTTGAATCAGTTGTGTCATCTTAATCAGGTGTTATTAATCTGCTAGTCAAAGAATATTAGTGTGTGAATGATATGGTGTTCATTGCATGTGATATGGTGTTCATTGCTGCTGTAGGTGTAAAAAGTTGTATTTTTTTGGAGAAAAGAATTTATTCACGTTTTTAATAAAATTATAAAAAAGCTGATTTTAGTTGAAAATAACTTTGATCACTACAATATAAATTCTAAACGAGATTAATTATTACTCTTTCTTCAAAGTTCAAACTCTTATTATATAAAATAAAATTTGTGTATCGACAGAGTGGCTTTGATTATTTTTGACTACTTTTAGTTTTTATGCCGTTAAAGCACGCCATCCTGCGTTGCCCTCACTATCCTCTTTTATTTACTTCCTCTTGCCACCACCACCATCTGCTTCCACTTACGCGCTTCCTTTCTCCGTTTTTTTAATCATTTGACACGTAGCTTTGTCCTTTTGACTATTTTACACCATTTTTTTAGTACTACTAAATTTATTAAGTCAAACTAGTTAATATATTGAAAATAATAAAAAATTAGTCGTCAGATTTTTTTATTGTCTAGATGTTGAAAATTACAAACTTTTATTTGAAAATTACAAAATTTAACTAAATACATTTAATTACAAAACCAAATATAATCATATATATATATAAATGATCTAATTTTGATTTTTAAGTATACTTTACTTTCTTCTCAACACTACAAGGTAATTTTGATTTTTAAGTATATTTCACTTTCTTCTTAACAGTACATAATCCTAACCCGACCCGCCATCTCTATTCTCGTTTCGATCTCCAAACTGGGTCCAACTCGTAACCCATTCATCCCCTCCGGCGATAGGTTAATAACAGACGATACTAGAAAAGGCTTGACAGAAAAAGCGGCAGTCATGTATTGTGTCCGGCGAGCCTCGATTTTGTCGGAGGAAACGAACATGTGGTTGCAGGGCTGGTTTTTATTTTATTTTATATAATTTTATTTTAAAGATAAGACGTGGTTGAGAGTCTTAGGTTCTATCTCATTTTATTGCAGAGCTGATTTTTTATTTTATTTTATTTTATTTTATTTTATTTTATTGTAAATGTGGGAGTATTAGGGTCAGATTTTTTATTTTATTTTATATAATTTTATTTTATTTTATATAATTGTATTTTATTCTATCTTTTTTATTTTGTTGCGGAAATCTTGTTCTCATTTGACACATAAAAATGTCATTTTTTTTCTAAAAACAACTCAAACGGTGCTGAATTTTCTACATCGACGTCGTCTTTTTTCTCTAATGAGATAAAACAATCACATATTATAAATTTTTTTATTTTATTTACTACTATATATATTTTGCAAGAGAATATCATCATAAATGAAAATAAATTGAATTTTAGGTGTTTCGCTCTCACGAATATTTAAAAAATTTGGTGCAAAGCAAGGGACGCTCTCTTGGTTACGTCATAATAACTCAAAGATCATACACACATACAAGTGGTTTTTTGTATAAAGTCACACTTATGTGTGATCTTGTTGGTGAATATAAACCGAAGGAAACAAGTAAAAATTCTGCTACCTGAAAAAATTATTGTCCATTCTAATTGGTAGGAAAGTATTCAAGTATATATAATGGTTGGTTGATAAGTGTAATATGTGATGAACATAATCATCTTCCTGCACAACATATGGAGGGGCATCCATATGCAAGACGATTGTCTAAAGATGAATATCGATTGGTTGAAGATATGACAAAGAAGAATGTGCCGCCACGTAACATTCTATCGATATTAAAGTCGCAAAATGAAAATAATGTGTCAACACTTAAAGACATATATAATGCACAATATAAATTCACAAGTCCTTACAAGTTGGGAAAAATACGATGCAGGTAAAACATTACACATCTTTTTCTGTTTCCTTTATATTTTGATTTTTTTATTTTCAATTAAAGCGGCATTACCCGAAAGTTGTCTTTTGTCGATGACTCATCTACTTTGGATCACATATAAAGTGGCATTGCATCTGCATGGAAGACCCATATGTTAGTCGTTAGGAAGAGTTTCGTGAATATTATTTTCGTATTCCTGAAACTTTTGACATATCGAAGTAATTATGTAACATTCAATTTATTGTAATTCTAATTTATTTATCAATGAATGTTTTAATATTTGTTTTTTTATACATGTATGTATAATTAAATAAGTAAAAAAAAAACAAAAAATAAATAATAAATAATTATTATCATGTTGAAGAAATAAATAAAAAATATTTTAATAGAAAACTTTAATAATAAAAAAGACCTTAATAAAAAATTTTAATAAAAAATAAAAAGACATCTTTATTTCATAATGATAAAAAATTTTAATAAAAAAATAAAAAATATAATCATTATATTAATCTTTTATAGACACGTGGTAGTTTCTAAATGGATGTTTGGATATCTTGCTATCTTCTCCTGTCTTGCACTTCGTAAAAGAAGTAACCTATAAAAGCCAGAGGGTTTATATAGATTAATTTTTAAACTTTCATGTGGTACATGTGTGCTTTTTGTTCAGTGAAGGATAGTTTATAGTAAAACAACGGTGCTTAATAATTATTCATTTTTTTATTGTCTTTCAGGTTTCGCTTTGATTAATATGGACCGACTCAGGTTACACACTTAACTTTGGCGGATGAGTCTTCTAACGGAGTTTTTTGCATACATAATGACTCGAACCTGAAACATTGCTTAAACGATATCAAGCTAATTACTATTTGAATCAACTAATCTGCTGGTACTTAATAATTATTCATCAAACAAACCTAAACCAAATGTATAATTTTATATTCGACCATGTTGTTGGTAGTAAGATTTCAACCACTTTAGCCAACAAAAGTTGAATACTGTGAAGCGGCTTCCTTAATTTGTTTTAAGTGAGTGCATGTTACGGATTAGTACAACTTTTAAAATATAATTTCATGGTTGTTTTACCTTAAAATTATATACATATGAGACCAAATTTAAAACCTATTATTGTCTTAATTAAAAGAACTGAATTTTAAAGAAATTAAATAGGCTATTTAGGGGATAAATAACTCCTAGGATGAAATCAAATGAAAAACAATAATGAAATCAGCGTATGTATATTTGTTAAGTCATTAATTTTAAATTTAAAGATTGAAAGCTAGGGTCTAACTTGTTTAATAGTAGAGTATATAATAGGGATATAAGAAGTATTAATATAAAACTAATAGTATATTATAATTTGATTTATCGAATTTCAAAACTTAGAGAGATTTAAAATGTAATTGGACAAAAAATGAGGACTAAAACCTAATTTAAATAATTTCAAGACTAAAAGGACCTTTTGAGCAAAATGCCCCTTTTCACTCATTCGTCCTTTGCAGCTGCCGCATAATTATTAATATTATTGTGCTATTAGGGTGTGTTTGTTTGTACGGAATTGATTTTTTCTGAATTATTGTGTTTGTTTTACGTAATTCATTTTTTGAAAAATATTTTTTCGTGTTTGTTTCACGTAATTTTTTTTCCGGAATGTAATTCATTTTCTTAGTAGTGTTTTCTGTAAAATGACTTATGGATTCATTTTCCGTAAGTCATTTTTCAAATTTTTCACTTCAAAGAATAAATACTCAAAATAATTTTATTTTATGAATTTAATATTAATAAAATATTTTAATATCATTTTCATCAAAATATTATTTATTTATTAATATTTATAATAATATAATATTATATTTTTAATATTATATAAAATAATAAATTATATTATAATAATATAAGATATTATATTTTTATTTTAATAATATATAATAAAAAATTTATATATTTAATAATGAATAATATATTTATATTTAAATAATATTTTAATAAATATATTTAAAATATACTAATTAATATTTTTAAAATATAATATAACACTATTATTTTAATAAATGATTTATAATATTTATAATATTTTATTTCACTAAAATATACAAAAATTATTATTTTTAATAATAATTTTTTTTATGATAAATAATATTATTTATTGTATTTAATATTTATAATAAATAATTTTTAAAAAACTCTTCAACTAGTGGAAAAAAGGTTTAAATAATATCTTCCAAACATCATAAAACGTTTTTCAGATATTTTTCAGAAAAATGTAATTTATTTTACGGAAAACATTTTCCGAAAAACGTTTTCCAGAAATGTAATTCATTTTTCAGAATTCAAATTCCAGTAATTCAAATTCCAGTAATTCAAATTTCAATAATTTATTTTCCGAAAAATCAATTACACCCAAACAAA